GAAGTGTGGCTGTTCTGTGACTTCTGATCCCCAGAGTAGCTCAATCTTAAACAATTACCCCCTGCCAAGAATGGCTCCTGATTAATCATGCCCAAATATGGTGGTCAGTGCACTGGATTTCTTCTCCAACTCTAGCCAGCCATATGGCATCACTTTTAGAGTAAACCCTATGCTGTTTTTGCAGCTTACAAGAATTGTGGACTTTTCTTAGGTTTAACACTGCCCAACAGTTGTTTCTTCCTGGAGCTGCCAACCCTATCTGGGCTTGGCTTTTGCCTGTGGAGTCAGATCCTCTCCCTAGAAGCTGGGGTTAGTGTTTCAGAACGCTGTCTCTTTTCTCCACATTGTCTTCCATTTCTCCAGTTTTTCTGTGATTTCTAGTTTTCTTGTCACCTCTTTCTTGGTTCCAAGTGCTCTTGTTTTTCTTTTTCCTAAGTTGTTGTTTTACAAGTGTCTTGATTCTAGGTCCTGGAGAGGCTGTGTTCAAACGGTAAATATTTAAAGAAGTGACAAGACAAAAAATTGTGGTCTGTAGGAGCAGCAACTTGTGGGAAGGCAAATATAGTGAGTAGCAGATAAATCAGTAAACAAGATAGTCATTTATTTACCTCTCATGTAAAACAGGAAGTCTGTAGCAAAAATAGAAGATACACAATGATTAGGGCCTTAGGCTTATGCCAGCTTTCCATCAGGGTCCACCACGGCTTTTCCAGTCCCAGCTACCACATTCACATTCCAACCAGCAGGAAGAAGAAAGGGCAAGAGAAAAGTATGTTCCAAACCTGCAAGACCTATCCCAACACCTCTGCTTAGGTCTGTGGGCCAGAACCTATCACATGGCAACAGATGGTGGTAAAGTTCCTCTGTAGCCATCTCTACCTCATAAGGATCCATAGTTGTCTTGAGTAGTTAACCTTTGTTTTCCCTGATAGAAGGGGAATGGGATACCTTTTGTCTTTGTAAATCTATGTTCTGCTTTTAAGAAAATGGAGGGCCGACAGCTTTCCTGCATCCACTGCTTAACTGTCTTCAGCTTCACAATCCTCCATATTCTGGGGAGGTATATGCTGACCTCTCACATTTACTAATACAGATAGGTAGTGACACTGTCCCCTGTCCCCACTTTATACATAATGGAGTACAAAGAGGTGAAGGAACTTGCCTGAGGTCAGTCAACCAGTAAGTGGTAGAGCCACGACCAGGACCCTCGAGCCCGGGTCCCTTGCCGTGCGTTCTAACACTGCTCTGGGAGACAGCTCAGTGCATTTGCTTTGCTGCTGTCTTCACATTGGCTTCTACACTTCCACTTTCCTCACATTCCCTCTGCTATGTCCTCATTATTATCTTCTTGCCTGTTTTGTGGCCCTCCTGCTTCTTACCGAGTTACATTCCTAACCTTCATGCTTTTGCTGATGCCGCTCTTCTTTGGCCTGGAACGACCTCTTCTGTATCTGTCTGTTGAAATCCTACCTTCCCAGCAAGGCCCAGTTCTCCATTCATAGCCCTTCAATGATGTCTTCTTTCACTCTCTTGAACCAATGTATTCCACAAATATTATTTATTGTCCCTTCAAAGTGCTAGGCATGGAGGACTCTATGATGTGCAGAACAGTTGAAGAGTCAGTTGTAAACTACTGAACTTTATGTTTGCTACCAGCAGTGGCTTTGAACCTTGAAAAAAAACCCAAACTGTAAGCACATCACACCCCCCCAAGACACAAGCACACATACACAGCCTTGATGATTTAACAATATCTCTCTTAACCATATGTAACCACACTGATCATTTAAATTGTATCCTATGTCATTAAAATAAAAAACGATGGTGGAAGCTGGGTTTAGTGGCTCACACCTATAATCCCAGCAGTAGGGATGCTGAGGCAGGAGGGTCCTCATGAGTTTGAGGCCAACCTGGGCTACATAGTGAGCTCAAGGAGAGCCTGAACTGACTATATAGTGAGAACTCAAAAAAGGCGTGGGGGGGGCCCGGGGATTTAGCTCAGTGGTTCTGCTGCCTGCCTCGAAAGCACAAGGTCCTGAGTTCGATCCCCTGTACCAAAAAAAAGAAAGAAAAAAAAGGCGGTGGTGGTGGGGCTGGAAATGTAGCTCAGTGCTAAGGCACCACTGGGTTCAATCCTCAGTACTGCCAAAAATAAATAATAGAAAATTTGAAAAGGGCTGGGGATGAAGGCCAATGGTAGTGTCCCTAGGTTCAATCTCCAGTACTGTGAAAAAAAAAAAAGACTGATACCTCTTAACAGATTTTCCAGCCCATTAATAGGTTGGAAGAGAGCCGGAGATTTAGCTCAGTGGTGCTGTTGCCTGCCTCGCAAGCACAAGGACCCGAGTTCAATCCCCGTTCCCAAAAAAAAAAAAAAAAAGGTTGGAAGACACAAGTTTGAGAGATAATCCTTCCTTTATTTCTCCCATCATCCAAACAGATTTCCTGGGTGTCGTCTGGGTGCCTGGCCCAGTTCCAGCAGAGGGATGAAGAGGAAGAACACTGTCCCTCCAGAGCAGTCACAGTGCACTCTGTGCTACAGGGGCAGCATGTTCCTTCAGGCAAATGTGCATATCAGTGGCTCAATAAATAGGAATGCAGTTAAATGAGGCACAGACAGCAGGATAATAAAAAGAAATTAGTGACTTCCACAAAGGGAGCAGCACAGCAGCTCACAGGTGTGTGGTGATGTGGAACTAGTTCCACGTTCTAATTGTCTAGTGAGCTCCCTGCTCAAGTCAAATTCTGGACACAGACTGCAGCTGCTTTCTCTCATATGTGGTGGAGTGGTGTTAGAGAGGTAGAAAGTGATTTGGATTTAACCCAGCACAGACTGGTTATGAGAAAAGAGAGAGCATTTTGCATTTCTTGCCCCAAAGCCTGTCAGTGCTATCAACCTGGCTATACTCCAAGAATGATGTCACCTACAGTTGTCCAATTTGCACATCACTCCCTCAAATCAAAACACCACACCTGGCTGAAATTACTTTCTTGATTAAGCATTTTAGGACTTTTTTTTTTTTTTAGTGGCAGTGGTGGTGATGGAGCCAGAGAGCACTGAATTAGGTCCTCAGTCCTTTCTACTTTTTAAATTTTAATTTGAGACAACATCTTGATAAATTGCTCAAGCTGGCCTTAAATTTTTGACCTCTTGTCTCAGCCAACTGAGCAGCTGGGATTACAGGTGTGCTCACCTAATTTAATTTTTGATCAACCATCTACATAAGATGCCTTTTTTCCATTTACATTAATGAAATTAATACACTTTAAGCCAGGTGTGGTGGTGCATACCTGTAATCCCAGCATTCTGGGAAGCTGAGCAGTATGATCACAAGTTCCAACCCAGCCTGGAAAATTTGAGACCCTGTTAAAAAAAAAAAAGAAGACAGAGAGAGAGAGAGAGAGAGAGAGAGAGAGAGAGAGAGAGGAAAGAGCTGAAGATGTAACTCAGTTTGAAGGCCCTAGATTCAATCCTCAGTGCTGGGGGAAAAAAAAGTACATTTTAATGAAATTTTCATTGTGATCAGTTTTTGTGTAGAGTGGACCCTTGACTTAGGAACTCAATTCGCTTGTGAGGGCTCGTTGTAACTCAAGGTGGTCAACTGAAGGCTCAGGCTCCTCTACACAGCCTTCAAAGTCTCTCTCCTGTACACAGCCAGATCTCAGTGTCCTTAGAGAGACAGAATTAATTTCTCAATTAATCCCATACAGGAAAAGATGTTGTAATGTTCCTTCCAGAACGCTTTAAGGATTAAATCTGTATCTGGGACCATCTGGAAGCACAAGTGGCCAGCATTCGGGTCATAACCCAAGACTTTGTAAATTAAAACTAAAATTCTGGCTGTAATATAAGTTGGTTGTATGTCAGGCTGGTCATAACTTGAGGGTCCACTGATCATCATTTTTGTTCACATACATTTTAGTGATTATAGCATCTGCCTTTAAGTGTTCTAGTGTCTTATTTTCCACTAGGTTCAAATGATCTTATCTCCTACTATGTCATGTTCTATCAGTAACATTCTTTTTGGATTGGATAAAAGGTGAGCAGCTAACCCACAAGAAAATGGTGACCACTGATTGCTGATCAGCTCTTCTCTGACACCTCTGTCAGTGGTCCACACTGGTGAAGTGAAAAGGGAAGTCACAGTATCATTTTGTTCTGGTTTCAAAGCACTGTGAAGCAGGGCTACACATAACTGGTGTTGTTCTTTGGAAGATGTTGGAATGCAGTAGCTCCAGTTAGCAAAAGGAGAAAACATTCTTTACCCACTCCTTTCTTTCATGAAGGAGCAGACTACTGGCACAGGGCAGGACAGCACGGGGTGACCCAACAGTCAGGGACCCCCCCCCCCCCGCCACTCTTCCACTGTCCCCTCACTGTCCCTGCTAAATAAATCCATACATAATACCATTTTCCAAAGGGCGCAAAGTTTTTGCTAGAGGTAAAAACCCGCTGAAAGGAATCATGAATACCTATTATTTATAAACTGCACCAAGCTGCAATCATATGGAGCATGCGAGTACAATCTTTCGTTATCGCTAATGGATTGTGATATGAATAAAATGTAAATATCTCGGAAGTAAGCGGCACTTGCCAGGTGTTACAAAGGCGAGATACTTAGCGTCCAGGAGAGAACTCAAGGCACCGTCTAGGCGTGAGCTCTGGGCCAAAATCTGCACAGGTATGGCGAGAGCGCGCACAGGCGGGTCGAGGGCGCGCGTGTCGCCCCCACCCCGACCCCCTACACGCTGGGTTCACCCCAGGCAGGTAATGGACAGCGGCTTCCTCCCCGCAGCGCCGCTCGGCTCGCCGAACCCCTCACTTCCCGCCTCGCTTCCAGACCTTAAAGACGACAGTGACGCCAAAGCACAAGCCAGGAGCGGGAGCCCCCCCCACTTCGGCCCCGGCCCACCCCGCCAGCGGGCTTCCGGCGCTCCGCAGCGGCGCGGGGCGGAGCCGGGGGCGGGGAGTTCTCGCACTTTCTGGGCTCTGGTAGCGCGCCGCACCCGGCGCGGAGGCCAGAAACGCTGCCGGGAGTTGCCGGCCGCCGCTACCCCAGCCGCTCGTTCTTGTTTTTGGCGGAGGCCGCGTCGCCCTCGCAGCCATGGCCAAATGGGGCCAGGGGGACCGGCGCTGGATCGTGGAGGAGCGAGAGGACGGGACCAACGTGAACAACTGGCACTGGTGCGGCGGCGTGCGTGTCCACACGGCTTGGGGTCGGCCTTGGGTCGGCGTGAGGGCCGCCGCCGTGGAGGCTCCCGGGCTTCAGGGCCTCTGGAAGTTGGTCTAGGCCGCGGGGGTGACTTCTAGCCTTTCGCCTCTCAGCCTGTGACCCTAGGGTCCACCACCCGAACTCCAGTCCTCTTGCTGTCTCTGGGAGTTAAAGGGAAGCTAGGAGGTACGCATGTGCGTGGGGGACGTCTCTAGGGGTGGAGTGGAAAGAGCAGGAATTTCGTTCCCCTCCCCGTCCCTAATGTGAGCGCCTCCTGCTAGCCATGCTTTCTTCGAGTTGCGCTCGGTACCCGTTTTTACCTCATCAGGAGCAAGGGATGATGTTCGCCTCGCACCCCCAGAGCCTTAAAGGGATTGTCTTTACCTCCAGGGGTGGAGCACCTCCAGGCCATCAAGGGGATTCTGAGGCAGGGCGCAAGGCAGAGCCAAGGCACCAGCCTATGGAGGTGACACCTTGACTTGGCTCTAGTTTCCTAGGTCTGTCTCCACGGTCAGGGCACACAGTTCCCTCATCCCGTTTTGTCTGGTTTTGTCTTCCAGAAAGGAATACAGCAATACAGTATTTGGGAAGATTGCATGAGATAATGCATATGTGGAAACACTTGACAATTGCTATTTTCGTGATTCAGATTATTCTAATTATTACCACCATTAAATATGGTCTGGGGTTTCTTTGCCTGTCCTTTTCCAAGGGTGAGATTGGTAGACCCTTCCCCAAATAAGCCAATGTTTTTAAGACAAAATCTAAGTTTGCATGGTGGGTACTAATGTCCTAAACAATGGAGCAGAAGGAGGGTTAAAGGGTATTTGATGGAAAGCTAGTTGGAGGAGCACGTTTGTAAATGAGGGTGGCAGGGCTCTGGAGGTGGTGTGAGAGGACTTGGGCTGCCATTCACCACTGTGCCCTTCTGGTCTCTGGCAGGACAGAACGAGATGCCACTAGCTGGTCCAAGGGGAAGCTCCAAGAGCTCTTGGTGGGCATTGTTGTGGAGAATGAGGCTGGCCGCTGTGAGACCAGTGAGCTGAAGCGAGTGGAAGGTGAGGCTTCATGTAGCAGCCGCAAAGGAAAGCTGATTTTTCTTCTGCGAGTGGAACATCAAGCTGGGCTGAAAAGGTGAGGGTCTCAGGTCCCCGTGGGGCTGAGGGCAGCCTGGGGGAGAGTCAGTTCATTCATTTCATTCATTCAGTGACTGTTTAGAACTCCTGCCATGGGTAGGGCACCGACTGGCCTCAGACTTGGTATTTGTAGTTCCTAACACTCAAATGCACTTGGCATTGCTTGGTTCTGGGAGCTGCCCTTTCTCCCTCTACTCGGGCTGCCTAGATCTTAGTGCTCTCAGCTGGGCTCTTTTCTCCACCACCTGTGAATTGGAGCCTCAAGCTGGTTGTTTTTCTTTTTGTTTTGTTTTGTTTTTGAGACAGGGTCTTACTGTGTAGTTCAGGATGACCTGGAACTCACCATGTAGCCTAGGTTGGCCTTGAACTCGTGATCCTCCTGGTTCAGCCTCCTGAGTGCTGGGAATACAAGTGTGTGCCACCAAGCCCAGCTTCCTCCTCATGTTCTTATCCTGTGTGAAACCTTCTCCTCTATCCTGTAGCTAATTGCAGACCTTTCATTGTGCTCTCCCTCCTTTCTTTTTACACAGAGCACTAGTACTTTGTACAGTATATGGTTTCCTAAAGATTCTTTACCGTCTTTGTCCTCCTTCCTTTTCTCCCTCATTCATCAGGGTAGGAATTTTTTAAATAACATTATTGAGCTATAATTCATATACGTTATTCACCTATTTAAAATGTATAATTCAGGTGTTTCTCATTATATTTACAGAGTTATACAGCTATCACCACAATCAATCTTAGAACATTTCTAAATGTCAGCCCAGAAAGAAACCTTGTACTATTAGCAGTCACTCCCCATTTCCCACTTCCCCAAGCCCTTGGCAGCCATTCACTGACATTTTGTCCGTGTGGACTTGCCTCTGGACATGGTGTATTGATGGATTCATGCAGTACACTGTGTGGTATCTGGTGACTGTCTTCTTTCACTTCATGTTTTTCAAGGTTTATCCATGTTTAACATGTATCAGTATTTTGTTCCTTTTTATGGCTGATTAATATTCCTTTTTTTTTTTGGTACCGGGGATCGAACTCGGGTCCTTGCGCTTGCACGGCAGGCGGTGAAACCACTGAGCTAAATCCCCGGCCCAGCTGATTAATATTCTATTGTATGGACTTGCCCACTCATCAGTTAATAGGCATTTCAGTTGTTTTTACTTTTTGGGTCTTTTGGCTGAGTTCTCCTGTGGTACCTAGCTCCTGGCTAGGAAGACAGTATGTGCCTAGTGAAAACTTGTTGAAATAACCAAGGATGCAGAGACATGGGGAAAGGAAGAGGAGGAGAGAGATCAGGTTGTGGAAGATTTTGCAGTGTTCAGGTCTGGGCTTCACCCCTGGAGTCAGCTCCTTTCTGGAGAGTCTGTGAGAGAGCAGCCCAGTAAGGTGGCATGGGCCTCTGTCCTTGTGGCAGCCTTGCTAGCAGGAGCCAGGCTAGAGCCCAGGCAGGTATTCAGCAAGCATGAAAAGCATTCCCATCCCTGCCTGGAAACAGGACCCTCCAGCTGGGAATTTGCTCTCAGTTGTTCCTTCATCACTGCTGCTGGCTGCTTCATAGCAGAGTCTGGCTCCCTGCTCTGTCTCCCCCAGGACAGGGCTCTATTGCCCTGAGAAACCTCTCAGTCTGTGTCTCTTTTCTCCCTGGGTTCAAAGCAACAGTGAGCTCCTTTGCAGGGTAAGACCCATCCTCCCCTTCTGGAATAAAGACATAGTTCCCCAGATCCAGAAGGGAATGGCAGCCCATGGCCATAGCCTGAAGAAAATGGTCAGACATCTAGAGGGGCTCTCTGAAGAGGCCATCGTGGAGCTGATCCTGCCAGTTGTCATGAATTGCATGAGAACTTGAAGCCTGTCAAGCCAATCCAGTTCTGGAGAATGAAGAGACCAGATGGTGCCATAAAGCCGTGGAAGCTGTGGTGTCCAAGACAAGGCCAAGAAGGCAAGCAGGCTGGGCACTGACCCAGGGAACACCCTCCCCTCCATCCCACTTTTCCGTGCCTCGTGCTTCCTGCACATGCATCTGCAGGCATCTCAGGCTGTAGCTGCAGATGAGAACTGGCTCCTCCCATTTTCATGTTAGCATTTTGTCTCTTCCACCTGCTCCCTTCAGAAAACCCAGGCAGAGTAGTACCTTGAGGGCTGTCAGCCTGAGCTGGGGGAGGACTCCTTTTATCTTGGAGAGCTAAGAGTTACTAACTTTGGGGGTTTTGCTAGTGCAAAACGAGCAACTAGAGAGGGTGGGAATCATGCCAAAGCATGACCAATAAGGAGAAGCCCAGAAACCCATGTGTATGCCAGGGGACCAACCTGTACTTTTCTGTGGTCAGGGCTCTGACTGGGCAGCTGTGGTGATTATAGTGGAAGATAAATGAAACCTGTAAACCTTTTTTCTTTTTTCTTTTTAAAATTTTATCCCCCCCCCCTTCCCTTCTCTATGTACAGAAGCTTTGTTTCCATTTCTTCCATTTTCACTTTTTTTCTTGTCCCTTCCTTTCTCCCTCCCACCCTCCTGCCTTGTTTCCCTTCCCATTTAAGCACTTCCCATTTTCCAACATCCATTATACATTTCAGCCCTTATTTCCACTTGGTTTCTCACACTAGAGAAACAATGCAGTATTTAAATGTGTGCATCCAAATTTATTTTGCTTAAGAGTATGGTCTCAAGGTCCATCCATTCCTTTTAGTTATAAATGTCTGAAGCTTGTTCTTTATGGCAGAGTAGTACTCCATTGTATAAAAACCCACATCTTTATCCACTCATCAGTTGATGTGCATTTGGGCTGTTTCCAAGATTTAGCTATTACAAACTGTGCTGCTGTAAACATGGATGTGCATATGTCACTGTGGTAGGATGCTTTTAATTCTTTTGGGAAGATACCATGAAGAGGTATAGCTGGGTCAAATGGAACCTCTAGTTTTAGTTTTTTGAGAAATCTCCACACTGATTTCCACAGTGGTGTAAACCTGGTTTAAAAAAAAAAAGGTTTCTTCTCTGACTCCAGAGAAATTATCTCCAGAAGATTGGCATCAATCCTAAATTAAATTTATGTGTTGCATTTATGCCCTGTGCCCCCACCAAGCTGCTAAAATAGTCCCACTTGTGGTCATTGGAAAATAAGCCATTCCTGAGGCCCATATGGGATAAGCTCCTTGAGCTCCAAGGGATGAGGAATGCTTTCTGCTGTATATCTTAGCCTTTTCCAAAGTGTGTTGTGGCAGTGAGGTGCCTCCAGACAGTGTCCAGTGTGTTTTCTGCTGTCTTAATTTCTGAGTGATGTTCTAGTTTGTTGACCCTGTCACATCAGCCCAGTAATCATTTTGAGCTTGACTGTACTAAATCTTTTATTCTAGATTGATATAATAGTGATGTGAAATTAAAACAAAAAAGACCCAGGGGGCCGGGGATTTAGCTCAGTGGTTCCGGCACCTTCCTTGCAAGTGCAAGGTCCCGAGTTCGATCCCTGGTACCAAAAAAAAAAAAAAAAAAAAAAGACCCAGGCACAGCCAGAAGACCAGCTGCAAGGGCTTGCCAACCCCTGTGCTGTTTTCTAGCAGCAAGTCCAGGTGCTTGGAGTCCACCTGAAGTTCCCTGAGCCACAAACTCCCTCTGCTCATACTTTCCAGGATCTGAGCTTTCTGTCTTCCCATCCCTCTCTCCCTGTCAGGATAGCCCCTCATCCTGCTTTGACACTGGGATAAGAAAAACATGGATTGCTGACCAGCTGAGGACTGCTGGCCCGACTTCCTGTGCCACACTGACTAGTCCCATCCCTGTCTTGGCTGTTCCCCTTGGAGATGGCCACAACCCTGTGACAGAGGTGGGACCCTGTGTGGGCTGTTGGGCAGGGCGGTTTTGCCTAAAACCAGTTTTTGTTTTTTTTTTAAATTGAAGAACCATTTTGTTCATTTTTAGGTACAGTTAAAGAATCTGGTGCAAAACACAAGGGATTGAATGAAATACCCAACTTTTCTGAAGAAAGTGAAGTAGATGACACTGAGGTATCTGATGGAGTTTTCTTCTTCCTTTTTTAACAAACTTTTGCTATAGGCGGCCATTAAAAAACTTTCTCAGGGCCGGGGATTTAGCCCAGTGGTTCCGCCTCCTGCCTTGCAAGCGTAAGGACCTGAGACCTGAGTTCGATCCCTGGTACCAAAAAAAAAAAAAAAAAAACTTTCTCAGACTGATCTCCTGCAGTAGTTGCGGTGATTGTGGAGGGCTCCTTGGCCCAGAAGGATCACTTTACTGTGGGGCAGCCTGGTATGGGAAGCCGAGTGGTATAGGAAAAGGAAGAAGCCCCAAACTCCCCAGGGGCCAGGTGTGGGGTCTGGGCTGGTGACTGTACCATACCCCCATAGCCTTCTCATCTGCAAAGCAGAGTTAGTTCAAGGGTGTCACCAGGTTAAGTGTGAATGTATGTACTGTAAAGTGCTTGGGCTGCTTGCATGGCTTGCTGATTGTGATTTTGTTTCTCTTCCTCTGTACTTTCGCTATTTCCCTTTAATAGTGACAATTCTCAGCTTTAGCTGTGATCTCCCTTGGTTATGTCTCATGGTTTTTTTTGTAAACTAACAATGTGGATTGTTTTTGACTGTCCCTCTTGGGAGTTGGAGCCAGTGTAGATCCCTCCCTGGCTGGGAGTTAGTGGGCTCTTTTTGCTGTAAGCTTGGTCTGGGCCAAGACCATTTGTACAGCAGTTGTATTTTCCAAGCCAAGGTAGTTAGGCAAAGGGTCTTCTTTGGTTTGTGAATGTATTTAGCATGAAGGCATTCTGAGATAATAAGAATGAAATCCTACTGGGCAGTGTGTCTTGAGACTTGCTCTTTTTGAAGGTTATCAAAAGCCATGCCCAGGAAAAGCCATAAAGGTGAGGCTGTCTCAGACATACCTTTCATACCTTTGCTACACTCGGGCTGTAATTTTACTTTACTATATTCAGATCACTGGCTGAACAGCTTTTCAGCAGCAGTTAACCTGGTCTTCTAGAGTTCATCCCTCAGTAGCATTACAGAACAAAATAGATTTCAGTGGGGCCTGTCTGGGATCAGGCCCAGATCAGCTGAATCACTGGGACCTGAAGTGGTTCCAAGCCAGTGCCTCCTTTTTGCTCTGAGAACACCACTGAGCACTGTGGTGCTCACCTCCTTGGTCTTCTCCCCTGTACCTTGTGCAGTCTGTCTTCCATTCTTCTCTCTCACTCAGCTCTCCTCCCTGTCAAAAGAGTGTAACCCGAGGCCAGATTATGTGGGAACTTGATTTTTCTTAATTACTGTGCTTTGGGGTTCTAGACCAGTGCTGTACAACATGATACGAGCCACATATGCAATTAAAAACTTTTTAATAGCTATATTAAAAAAAATAGGTGAATTTTTTTTTTTTTTTCTAACGAGGATCAAACTCAGGACCTTGTGCTTGCGAGGCAGGCGACGAAACCACTGAGCTAAATCCCCAGCCCATAGGTGAAATAATTTTAACAGTGTTTTATTTATCCCATTATGTAGAACTATCTTAATATGTAACTAATGTAAAAATTTTCAACAAAGTATTTTACATTCTTTTTTTGTACCAAGTCTTTGGAGTCATGTGTATTATTTAGCGCAACACAACTCAGCTCACACCAGGCACTGGTGGCTGCCATACTGGACAGCAGGTTTGTAGCACTTCAGCTTATACATGCCCACAGTTTTGATGCAAATGAAGGGATTCACATTCTGTGGAGTCATTCAGAATTTGGCCACCATCCCCATCAGTGCACCTGTGATTAACAGCCCTTACCTACATTATGCCCAGCTACGTTAGGAAGAACCTGTCTCATTTCTCAGAGCTGCTTCTTTCCTCCCTGTCACAGTTCTTTCATCCTTGTGGCCAAATGTGTAATACATGCAACCACATTTTTCTTAGGTTTGTATTTTTCTCATTTGTAGGTGAACGTGAGTAAAAAGAAAGGAGATGGGGAAATACTGAAGGATCTTATGAAAACTGCAGGCACCGCCAACGTCAGGGAGGCCCTTGGAGATTACCTGAAGGCACTTAAGACCGGTAAAGAAGGCACCATCCCTTGTGAACCAGAGGGTCCCTTTTCTATTTGCCCGAGTTATGCTCTGGACTGTGATCTGGATTCCCAGGTTAGGCTCCAGAAACACCCTTTATGCTGCAGCATAAGTTGTAGTGCAGGGCCGGGGATTTAGCTCAGTGGTTTCGCTGCCTGCTGTGCAAGCTCAAGGACCCAAGTTCAATCCCTGGTACCAAAAAAAAAAGTTGTAGTGCAGATGTTGAAAGCTAGTCATAGGTAAGGCTATATGTAGGCCATCAGTATTGTGCACAGCAGGAACTATTTTGCCTACAGCATCATTAGTTTTCTGGAATGGAAGTCATCTAGTTGGTATGGTAGTTTGTGTAATTTCTTGTTCAATGTCTGTCTTCCCTGCTAGACTGTAAGCTCCTTGAGGGCATGGAAGGTGTCTGTCTTGTTCACTGCTCTATCTCCAGCATCTAGCACAATGCCTGGCACAGATAGGTGTCTAATAAACCTTTGTTGGATGAATGAATGTATGAATGAAAATGACTACAGGTATCACAGTTACCACTGAGATACACCCAGATAATCCCCGCATAGCATGGAAGTGAAGTCATTACCTTCTCTAAATTGGAGAAGTTACCAGCCAGGCAGAATGATGGGCAGAGCCTTACTCTGCACCTTATCCTTGGATCCTGCCCACGGAGTATCCTAGGTGTTGATGCCCACGTGTTTGGGTGTGTCCCTCCCCCTTCCCCAAGGCCTGAAGACTAGAACAAGCTCGAGGTGGTGGTTAGGCAGTGAGAGTCTTAGGTTTTGACAGTGGGTGAAGGGTACAGAGCTGCTAGTAGTTGGTCATATAAAATCTATCTATTTGGAAAAGAGCTTTTGAAAAATTTTCTGGTTTCTAAGAACTTGATACAAATGAGGTATTTGAAAGGGAAAAGAATAAAGGCCTTTGTTTCTGTGGAATTCATGTAAAGGATCAATTTTATAAGGAAAGATATGGAATGGCCTTGAAATCCTCAAAATACTATAGGAATTATTTTGATAAATATCAGTTCTTTTATTTCTTCATACTCTGTTTTGGGTTTTCTACTTTGCTCTTTGTGCTTAACATGAAATAGGCCTTTCTAAAAACCTTTTCCCATGTCTCTTTATAGAATTTACCATGGGAATGATTTTACCAACAAAAGCTTCGACAAACCAGGAGTTGATTGTTAAAAGGAAACTGAGTGAAAATACCTTGCAGGTATGACCTTTGGTGGCCAAAGTGTAGGGAGGGAAAAAGGAAGTGTACAGCCTTTTGATGATGGAAAACTGTGAAAATAGGAAGGGCATTAACCCCC